TTTTGAATATTTAATTCTCATCTTTGTAGGTAGATATAATAATTTATGTGTTCCTAGGCTTTGAAGAACTATAACAAAATGACACTGAACATCTTTAGCCATTACTTCATGTGTGTATCGGATGACATAAAAGAGAAGCATGGAGATGAGACTACATTGCCTCTTTCTCAGCTGGATGTTCAGTCCAATAATGTGCTCCAAGAAGAAATACTAAGTACGATTTATTTTGTTCTCTTTATTAGCTTTATAACCGGTATGTAACTTTATGAAAGGGCTTACTAAGTGTGTCGGTTTTCATGTTTTGCATTTTATTTTAGAAGAGGGGAAAGTTGTGTCATCTCTGAGTAACCTGCATGTGACTAGCAATGTCTGCTCAGTCTTTGCTGGTTTATCTGGGTATTCTGATCAAGATTTGTTCCCATTGTCTGGTGAACTGGCTCATATTAGAGGAGATGTAAGTGCTTTCGGTACTTCCTATCTACCGTACCTCTCTCAAAGAGCGTTTTACACTTTTTTTCTAGTTCTAGACTTCTTCATTAACTGGAAACATTCTTTGTTACTTTGCAGTTGAACGTCAAGGCAGTACCTACTCTGGAACTGGACTTCAGCTGCAATTCATATGCATTGGATTTCTACAGGCATGGCACACGAGAAGCTTTGTGCTTTGACAATGGTTTACATTCAGGGCACGATTTCACTGTCTTAAAAGATTTCATGCTGGTTCTTAAGTCTATTCAGACATCATTATCAGAGACATACCCTAATTCAAAATTCTTTGAAGCTGTTGGAATTATTTCCAACACCTTTGAAACAAATTTCACAAAGGCATACTATGCTTTTAAAGGTTTGTAAGTATTCATCAATAGGGTTTGTTTGTTATTCTGTAACTGGGAACTATATTTCAAAAATCCTGTTCTGGAATTGAAAGCAAATCAATTTAATTGACTGTTGTGCAAAATAGATTCAATTTTAACCCGTTTTAAAAGAAAGAAAAATCTGTGCCACAATATGCATTTACATTTTTCCTGTAATAAGTTAAACAATACATCAATAAATACATTTTAAAAAATTTAATTTCACTGTCGGTTGTCTGTTATTATTAATCCACTTAGTTACCTAAAGGCAGTCTTGCCGGTGTGGTACTAGCCTTGACACAGCTGGGTCAAACGACGGAGCAGGAGGCGGGTGCAGACGGTAGGGGACAGTGTGGACGTGTGGACGGGGAACAGGATGTGGCTCTGGAGTGAGGTGAGCATTGCCCTGGAAAAAACATTAAGGAGCAGAGTGGCAGTTAGGGGCAAATATGTGGCAGCTCTGCCCCTTAGCTGCCACTTAGTTAAGTGGCAGTTAAGTGGATTGTGTCGCTTTAAAGTACATTGAAGTGGTATAAAGCAAGTGGCATTCAGGATCTAAAGTGGCAAAGCTGTTGAAAGTGTACACTATGTTTATACTGCGGTTGTGTAAGTTCCACAACTCCCCAGCAGGGGCTCGTAAACCTTACTAGTCTTTTTATTTAGTTTTATTTCAGAAAAATGACTTCCAGGAAAGATAGATCTCAAGTTCCGAAGAAACAAGTGAGTGCAGTGAATTTGGAATGTGTTTGTGTCTTTGTCTTGGTTTCTGTGGCCGTGCTTTGCAGGCAGACCCGCGGCACATATATGTCGTACAGGGCTGCCTACCCACTGCAACAGCCTCTGTAGAAGTGCGTAATGAAAAATAACAACGACATATTTAACTGCCAAATTGCCTTTAGACATGTGGGTGCCTCATACGCGTCACCTTCAAGATTTTTTCCAACCTAAAACCACTTCAAAAATTAGACACTGAAGTCTGAAGTCCTCTGAGAATTCCCAAGGTCGTCGTAAGTGAAAGTGAAAATCACATGAGATTACTACAGTATAAATTTCCACTTCAGGTGCACATCGTGCACATGCACTTTGCCTCTTAGCCCATGCTACTCCTAGTACTCTTTCCCCGTACGGGGTTTTAGGGCTTAAGTGTACTATTTTCGATAAAAAGGTGCACAAATCGCTAGTGTGTAACCACCCTGTTCTACGCCATTTTTCTTGCTTAGAAATAGAGAAAGGGCCCTTTCTCAAGATTAGAACCTTAAAACATTGATGTAAACTGACTTCATTTAAACTGCGAGCTTATTCGCGCGCGTGTAGCGCCACCTTACGAGGGCGCCCCTAGCGGCGGTGCGGTGCGACAACTGCTGAGTTGGGGGGATTCACCGATCTTGGAATCTAGCGAACCATCGTGAGTGTTATTACACGCTCTCCTCAAACATTCTGTAAATCTTTTTTAGTTTTATTTCAGAAAAATGACTTCCAGGAAAGATAGATTTCAGGTTCCAAAGAAAAAAGTGAGTGCAGTGAATTTGGAATATGTTTGTGTCTTTGTCTTGGTTTCTGTATGGATCTAAACTTGTTGAATTCTTCTATTAAGGTGAATATTGTGAATAATGCCAATCGAACAGAATTAGATGACTTAGAAAGTAGTGAAAGTGAAAGTGAAGATGAAGGGGTCCAATCAAGGAATTGTGAGGTGCATTCCGCTCAAGGTAAACATCAATTTTGTTTTATTTTGTTTCCTTAACCTTATCATTTCCTAATTGATTAATATTTGATATCTACAGGCAAAATGGGTGAGCCAGATGAGAAGCTCAAAAACTCATTTAAGGATGAAGTTAATCAGGTGTGTTCTATCAAATGTCTAAGAGGCAACTAGTTAACTACCTCTTTGTTGCGTGTTTTACTTTAATAATTTAATCGTGCTTTGCCGCTTTTCTTCCAGGTTTCTGAGGTTCTTAGGAGATCAGCAGCAGCAGGCGCTGCTTCAAGTTTTTATATCAAAAAGCTGCAACAATTTACGACATTTGTTCGCGCTCAGTTCCAAGATATTTTACCACAGATTGTTGATGGACGCAAGTTTATCATTGATGGTGATAGCTTACTCATGCATGCCCTCGACTCTGAAGGTCTATCACAAGAACTTGGTGGTCAAACTTTACATGTGATTTACATTGTTGAAAACTTCCTCCAAACCTTTTTGAATAGAGCTTTAAACTTTGTAGTTGTGTTCTTTAAGGTAAGTTTTTCTCTAATCTTTTCTTTTTCTCTTATGGTAAACTCAGTGACTATCAGGTATACAAAATAAAGGGGGAAGGGTGGCTCAAAATGGCAAAATGGTCATAATTTTTCCAAGTGGGAGGATGGATTTCTACAACAGTCCATGAGGAACAAAGAAACTAAAAAATAGCGGTTAAAAATTTTGATGGAATCAGCCCCTGCTTCTTTATAGTGTTTTGCTTTAAAGTATTAAACATTTTCAATTCATTGCTTGTGATGAAAGGACGTTAAATAATTTCAATGAGATTTTTTTTGCATGGACATGGGACATGTTGTATATATGTCGGTCTCTTATGGCATAGCACTATAAATTAAATTAATTTCAGATTTGGGATAAGGCTTGGACTTGTTTTCCGCAGTTAGCCATGGCCAGAAATGCTCTTAAGTTGCACCTCTTACACAATCAGAGGAAATTTGATGTTATCACCAGTGATCCCTTATGGTCAAAACAATTCTATCAATATTTGGCTCAACAAAGACCAGGATTCATCATGATGTCTACTAGACTTCCTCATTTTCTTCAATCATCAAATCTAGATGAGAAAACACCATCAAAATGGTTGCAGTTTGTCTTGAGTGCTCAATCAGCTCATTGTGAGTTTATATGCCTTGATGTTGTCGATATCAATACGGTTGTCTCATCAAGCACATCTCTCATGGCAACAGTCTATGTGCATTTTAACAATCTTGGTAAATTTAAAGAGAATGTCGCAAAAATGACAAAGTTTGTTGAAGAAATAATGCCAAAGGTAAGCCAAGCACAGGATCTTACAGAATTACCCGAGAAAGATGTCAAGAGCTCTACAATTATCTTAGCAGCATCTTTGCTCCTTGAAAAAGACTCCAGCAGCAAGTGTATCAATGTCACCAAAATTGTGCTTTTGTCATTGGCTTTCCAAGAACACTTGCCTTTAAAGTTGAGATGCTTCAAGAATTTGCCTGATTTATCACCCACAGTTGAAAAAATACTTAAATGTTTCCTGTTGAATATTGCTGAGGTCATTTATGACCTGTCCCATAAAGCAGATGAGTTATCTGCCATCGATTTTAGATTTGTAGGAGACATTTGGCAAGGTAAATTTGTAAAGGCTGTTTTCCATGGCATTGCAGTGGCTGGAAGTGTCCAAAGTGGTGAATTAGGGAACATAATTGGAAGTCGCTATGAAAGGCTTGTTTCAACTGTCAACAAACTCACTAATGTGATGGACATAAGCCCATATCCTTTGAAACATTTCTGTGAAAAGGGATGTTCAGGACACTCTATGCAGAAACCCACATTGATACTTCCCAGTCATTTTGGTACAAAGAAGCTTTTGCCATCAACATGTAAATTAACTGAAATGTTTTGTGGTGAGGTTTGCAAGAAACTGCTTGTCCAAACTGTAAGTGTATCTGAAGACTGGAATGATGATGAGTTTGTGCACGAAATCAGACATTGGCACAGTTTAAAACCATTAACAGATGAATATGATAGAATTCCTGATGGTGCAGCTAAAGACAACAAACCCCAATATGAGGTAAATAAAAGATATGCTCAAAATATGAGGAATACTTATGCACGTTACCAGACCATCTATGGTATGAGTTTAGAAGGACGTACAGCAGTAAAGGCAATTGTAACCAATTCAGCCAATAAACAGCAGAATATGAAGAAGACAGTTGACAAACCTAAAGCAACAGCCAAAGCCAAGCAGGTGAGCAAGAAGGATAAAATTATTGAAGATAACTTAAAAAGAATGATGGATGACAAGCAGAAGCAACTGA